GGGCCCCCCCGGGGGGCCCCCAGGGGCCCCAGGGGCCCCTCAGGGGCCCCCCGGGCCCCCGTTAGCTCAGCTGCCCGTGGGCGCAGCACATGTGGGGCCCCACAGTCTAGCGGGCCCCCCGCAGGGTACGGGAGGGGCCCCCGCAAGCTAAGGGGGCCCCCAGAGATTAAGGGGGGCCCCCCGAGATAAGGAGGGACCCGCAAGGTAAGAAAGGGGGCCCCCGAGGGGCCCCACAGGGGGGCCCCCAAGGGGGCCCCCAAGGCCCCCCGGAACATAGGCGGAGGGCCCTGGTGAAGGCACAAAGGCTGCGTTTGAATATTAGAAAAAATATATTATTAACTTTAAACAGGGAGGGCCCTGGGGGCCCCCAGGGGGCCCCCGGGGTGCCCCCAGAGGCTGCAGACGAGTCGTCTTCGCCGCGGGATTGGGGGCCCCCGGGGGGCCCCCAGGGGGTACTAAGGGCCCTCAGGGGGCCCTTAGTACCCAGGGGCCCCCAGATCCCAGGGGCCCCAAGGGGGCCCTCCTCCCTTGAAGTTCATGTTTATGTTTGGAGACTGAAGAGTAAATGCGAGGCTGCAGCAACAGTAGCTACGGCGGCAGCAGCAGCAGCAGCAGCAGAGACTTGCTGCAGCAGAAAGCGCAGGGGGCCCTTCCTGTGTGGAGGCCCCGCAGGGCTTGCTGCTGCTGCCCACAGAGATTGCGTGGGGGTCCCCCAAGAGACAATGGGGCCCCAGAGGGGCCCCCTAGGGGGCCCCTAGAGGGGCCCCCAGCGGGTCCCGGGGGGCCTCCGAGGGGGCCCCCCAGGGGGCCTCGGGGGGCCCCCGAGGGCCTTAGGGGGCCCTTGGGGGCCCCCAAAGGGGCAGTGGGGGGCCCCCGAGGGGCCCCCTGAGGGGCCCCTGGGGGCCCCAAATGTTTGAAAAGGCCTCTGGGGGCCCCCAGGGAGAGAAAGAGCCACGCGGGCGAAAACAGAGACAGAAAGAGACACGTGAAGTTCAAAAAAAAGTAAAATGGATTTAAAAAAGAATTGAGTAGGATTTAAAAGTGACTTAGAATGAATTAAAGGGGAAGTTAATTTGCAAGTTTAATTGACGGGAATGAAACGAATCAAGCAAATGGAGGTGACACAAAAGGATAAAAAAGAAAATAGAAAAGAATTAGAAACAAAATGGAAATAAGATTAAAATAAGAGTTTTAAAGAAACGCAAAAAGAGTTAAAGGGCTCAGATGTGGATGCGCAGGAGGCTCGAGTTAAGAAGTAAAGGGGGGTTTAAAGTAATTAAAATGGATTTAATTTAATTAATTAAAATAATTAAAATGGTTTAAATTAATTAAAACGAATTAAAAAGAAATAAAAGAATAGAAGGAGGAAGAGGAAAAGGATTAAAGGGATATTAACATCTGCCTCTTGCTAGTTTTTCTCCTGTGTCTACAGCAGCAGCAGCAGCAGCAGCAGCAGCAGGACTTCCACAGCAACAGCAACCAGCGGGCTCTACAGCAGCAGGCGCAAGCCTGCTGCTCCGCAGCAGCAGCAGGGCTCCATACTCTTGCTGCTGCTGCTGCTGCTGCTGCTGCAGGGACAGCCTAGCTCTGAGGGCCTCTGGGGGCCCCCTGGGGGCCCCTAGGGGCCCCATGGGGGCCCCTAGGGGGCCCCCGAAGGGCCCCCTTGGGGGAAGGCCCCTCGCCGAAGAAGTGACCCTGGGTACTTCGGGCCTTGGGGGCCCCCAGGGGGGCCCCCTTAAAAGGGTACTGGAAGAAAGAGTGGAAATGGAATTATTTGATTTTAAAATTTTGAATAATTTGGAACAAATTGGATTTGGATTTATTTCATTTATTTCAATTTAGAAAGAAATGAAAAAGAAGACAAGAGACTTTTGCTGCAGCTTCCTGTGGCTGTCTCTCTTGCTGCTGCTGAGAAAAGTCGAAATGCCAAAAGCTGCCTTTGCTGCAGCAGAATCCACGCAGAA